ATATTTAAATTGTGATCATATTTATTTTAAGCCAAACTAACAACATATTTTTTATATGTCCCCCCCCCACCCCCACAAAAAAAAACAAAAAACAAAAACGGGCAACGCAAGTACAAATACCACGTTTCAGTAGGCAAAATTTTAAAAGAAACTACTTTTGAGGGGTTTTTTGTTCGTAAAAAAAAAAAAAAAAAGGGAAGGATAGAGTGAAAATCTAAGTAACAAATGACCTCGAGACTGACACTTGTCTTCTTGTTCAAGTGACGCTCACTCAAGACATATCTTAACTGGGAGGGGGGGGGGGGTAATTAGTACTCAAGTTCAATAACACTTGTATCCACTAAACATCATATCAATATGTTTAACCCCCCTATTCCCCAAGACCAAATCTGTCTATTCCTAACGCTATAGCAGCCCCCTAAAAGTGAAGTTAAGCTTTTGCAGTCGCCAAAGGGAACAATGCCGTCACAGAACAGTAGTGCGTATCTCCTCTAAACAGCGCGTCACACTTTTATCTAAGTTTTGAGCTGTTCAATCAAGTTTTCAGTATCATAGTCGTTCTCCTAACCCCTTCCTTCCCATACACAGCCCAATTATTCTACAGGAGAGCACAATGGCGAACGAAAGACCGTGAAAGCGTCAATGGTCGCCGAGTCAAGGTACAAACGAGCGTGGGTATCTTTCGGACCTTGACACAGGCGTCTTCGAGAGGACAAAGTTTTGTCTTGGATTCAAAACGAGGCTTTCATTGGCCTTGTTATTTTTACGTCAGTCTTCTTGATGCTGTCCCAGAGACAAGTGCGACGAGTAGAGGGCCGACCCTTTCTCTCTCTCTCTCTTTCTCTCTCTTTCTCTCTCTCTCTCTCTCTCTCTCTCTCTCTCTCTCTCTCTCTTTCTCTCTCTCTCTTTCTCTCTCTCTCTCTCTCTCTCTGTCTATTTATTCTTAAGGTTACCGGTGGGGCGCTCAAATAAAACCTTGGCGTCCGATTGGACTGAGCCCAGTAGATGAAAAGTTTTGAACATTCCCAAAACAACAGATGTTCAAGAACCCTCGTGATAACGTATAGTGTCCTCGTATTCTCTTGTTGTCATATAAGAAATAATTAATCATGTCATATAGTTCAATATCACTCTTACCCGTCATTTTACCAGGAAGCGCTACGATGACTAATACACGTATCTCTTTACTGCTGTAATACTAGTAATACAAATTACATTTCTGTTGCACATATCCATGCTCGACAGCATGCTATACATTATGCTCCATTACTATTAATTCACAATGTACGGAAGGCTACATCCTTTGTACGCAGTCAAAATTTTGTCAATCAAGTTTTCAGTATCATAAACTTCCATATATTTCTTCTCCTAGTCAAAACATATTTGCATTTAAAAAAACCCCCACCAAACTGAGTGGAAATGAATGATCTAAGTAGTAAAGGTGGAGTTTTATTATTAGGTATGGTAGATTTTTATGACTGTAAACAACTGAATAATGCAGAGAACCAGCTGAACTGCACGCCATATACCGAGAGTTGAACACTGATAAAAGTGCTTTTTCTTCCAGTCGACCAAAATCGTCTAGCTAATAGCATAATATAGATCTAAATAAATGTGAAAACAGCAGACAGTCAGTGTACCTTGCAATTCAAATAACTAATCGTTTCTTTTCTTCTCCTTTTTTTCTTTTACAGAATCGATCAAAGGACGTCCGGGTACCATCAAAAGACTCACACGACCGGAAACTCTGAATCATCAAAGTCCACGGACTGAGCATGCGCAGAGAGCTTTAGTGGCAATTCACGGCCAGGTTTTAGTTCTGTTCCGGTAGTAAATTCTAGGAAGGAGAAAGAAGGCAGAACAAGCGGTTGTTTTAGCTAAAACATTGCTAAAGGGACCGTGACTTCTCTTTTTGGGAGAAAAGAGAACAAAGATTTTTAAAAGTGCGTTTGTGTCTTTCAGCTTTTTCTTTTTTTATGATGTAGCCTTGTCTAACTTTAGATATAGAAAAAAATACCTTTTAGAAAAATATAATTTTAATGAACAGTGTTTCGCTTCGGGGATATTTAAATTGTGATCATACATTTTCCCGACAATTTGGAAAATGTGTAGAAGAAATAATGTTAAAAGCTTTTGATCAAAACAACATTAAAGATTTAGCGACAATGTTCGCAACTGGTGAGTTTGTCGCGCAGTTGTGAAATTAATCAATATTGTGTGGACAAGTTGTAGGATCATATTACATGTATTTTAATAAAAGTTAACAGATTTTTGCTCACGCAAGGATACTGAACCTCGATTAACAACACACCTAACCAAACGGCTGTACTCCCAACAGACTCTACTACCAGAAGTCTGGTGGGTACATTCATCATCATCATAATCACCACCGCTTTTGCGTGGCAACAGCAACCTGATCGGCGTCGCCATAGCAACCGCATCGGCGTCACCATAACAACCTCATCGGCGTCGCCACTACCACTACCACTACCATAACGACCACGCCCCCGGTGTGGTTGAGAGTAAGCTAGGACCTGAGGGTGAGCACCCCCCACCGGCGAGATCGCTTACTACCTCCCCCCCAGCAACATGGCGATGACCGCCGAGCAGCACCACACACCTGCCTGGCTCGGACACACCGCCGACCCCTCACGCATGGGGAACGGGTTCGAACCCCCGGCGCCAGGCATGATGCCCTCTGAGGACATCAGCGACATGTTCTTCCCACACTCCCTGGACTCGAACGCGGGCCATATGGGAGCGGCCGGTTACTACAACAGTCACGCCGCGGCCCGCGCCATGCACAGCTACAGGCCCGCTCACGGTAAGGGTGTCTGTCTGTCTGTCTGTCTGTCTGTCTGTCTGTCTGTCTGTCTGTCTCTCTCGATCTCTCTCGATCTCTCTCGATCTCTCTCGATCTCTCTCGATCTCTCTCGATCTCTCTCGATCTCTCTCGATCTCTCGCTCTCTCTCT